GAATTTATAGTAAAACAATATACGTACAGCTCTCCACTCAGGTGAATCAGGAGACTTCATGGTGGTTTCCGCTCAATCTATACAGAAAACATGCATCAGATGGGTTTAGACAAAGGTCTTGGACGCAGGTTCATCTCAGCATGTTCATCTCAGGAAGATGAGATGAAGAGATTTACCTGATCAGTGCTGAAGCAGCGTTCAGAAGCAGATGCTCACCTGTGGAGAAGAAAAACATGTGATCAGACACCTGCTGTCTCCTAAACAGTGAAACATCTCGCATCTGCACGTTGTGTCTCAGGCTGATTTTGCTTTGCCATCGTCAGTTATCGCATCAGACGGCACTTCCTATATAGCAGCTTCATCACAGAACACAACTCAATGATCAATACCTCAAACTAAACCTTTCCTCCAGGTACAGAAAAACACTCTTAAATTTCCTAGAGCAATTAAGCAATAAACTACATATAAACATAGAAAAACGCAATATAAATACAGTAACACTAAAAACACAAAAAAAATTTTGTAAAGCCCACCATTTCTGTGAACTGCGCGTAATGATCACACAGTAAACCATCCAGCAGATAATCACGATCTAGTCACATTATATCCAACCTGCAGAAATACAAAGGAGAACACGTTAACAATGACCGCCATTCCTGTGCTTAAAATAAGTGCGAGATTAATAATTAAAGCAGCTTTAATCATCAGTCTTACATTTATCACGGTGGTCTGGAAGCGCTGCGATCGGCTCCTCGCGTATAACTCGCTATGCACATGTTTTAATCGCGTTAAGCTCGCTTATGTATGAGAAGCCGCGCACACATCCACGTGCCGCGCAGAGAAAGAGAGCGAGAAGCATCGAGCGGCCACTTTTATAGCGCTGGGACGTCATGACCCACGTGACTAGGGGTGTGTTCCCTTCGGTAGCGATCATCCCTGCGCCCTATTCCCTTCGACGTTGAGTTTTGGAGGGTTGAAAGGTGTAGCGTTCGAAATAACGCTCATTCGGAACTCCCATATTAATGCACGTGTATTGAATTCTGTTTGGAAGGATCCTACAGCGTATCTATCATTAATCAAGTGCCCTACGAAGGCAGCTTTCATGAGTTTGG